AAGAGTATATATGTGAATGAATGCTTACATACCGGGGCGAGTGTATGTGAAGGTAGGCTTACATGCAGGGGTGTGTATATTTGAATGTAGGCTTACATACGGTTATGTGAATGTAGGCCTTACATATAGAAATAGCCTGGCTCACTAGCACAATTGGTTAAAACCCTCTGCGTGGCGGCCGATTGGCGAACTCCTTGTGGTCTGGGTTCACGCCTGGGGTAGGCAGAAATCCACATTTCTCCCAGATTTACAGTCTCTTACATGGAATCAAGGCCGAAGGGTTGCGATATCCATAGTATCGAGCCAAATGGTTTACAACTCATGGTTTCTGGATACTTAAAAAAACTTAGTGTGTATGTGTAAATGTAGGCTTACACACTGTTATGTGCATATGTGAAAATGTAGGCTTCCATACAGGAGTGTCTATTTTGAATGTAGTCTTACATACAGGAGGCTGTATATGTGAATGTAGGTTTACATACAGGTTTGAGTATATTTGAATGTAGGCTAACATAAGGACAGTGTAAATAAGAATGTATGTTTGCATGCAGGTGTGATTATGTGTATGTATGCGTACATACAGGTGTGTGTGTATGTGAATGTATGCTTACATACAGGTGTGTGTAAATGTGAATGTATGCTTACATACAGGTGTGTGTATAAATGAATGTATGCTTACATACAGGTGTGTGTATATATGAATGTATGCTTACATACTGGTGTGTGTATATGTGTATGTATGCTCACTTTCAGCTGTGTACATATGTGAATGTAGGTAGACATACACTAGTAGAATGTAGGCATATGTAGGGATTGTGTATATGTGAATGTTAGCTTGCATACAGGAGAGTGTATCCATAAATATATACATACAGACATAACAGGAGTGGGCATATATATATAGAGTATATATATCATATATACAGAGTATATATGTGAATGAAGGTTCACATTTAGGGGTGTGTATATGTGAAACAATTCCTTTATACAGGGGAGTGTATTCTTGATTGTATGTTCACATGTAAGCCATTGTATACTGACCTTCATATATAAAGTGGTGTGGATATGTACGTTTATTCAGCTGTTTTAATATTTCTCAAATTTTTTAACCTTTTTAAAATAAATTTTTAAACTCAAAATTGATACACACTGTACTGTTAAAATGGAATTCAGAGATTTCTTATTTATATCTATGTTAAATAAAAGCAAAATATTGGTGAAATAATACTATCTTTATAGTTGTCATCATCATCATCATCATCAGGTGCCTTGCCGACTGGCGTGGGCGATCATGCCTCTCCATAATCTGCGATCTCCTGCAGCTTGTATCAGTTCGTGTGCCGACACACCTCCATGCCATGCAACAAGACTGTCAAGCATCTTCTCTCGTTGTCTTCCTCCATCCCTCCTTCCACAGATCTTTCCAGTGGTCACAACATGTTCTATTATAGTTGTACACATGAAAAACAGAAGAAAAAAAAATTGCAATAATAGGATATAAACAGGCTCAGAAGATTTGAACATTACCTTAATGTCTTCCTTTCTCATTTGGCTCATAAATACAGAAAAAAAAAATATTGAAAAAGAGAATTTGGTACTAGATTTCCACAGGTCATTTTATAAAAGAATACATTCCAGATTTCATTTATTTTTTTTCTAATGAAACTTCCATAGTACCCAACAAGTTAAGGTAATCTTTTTGTGTATGTAGCTCATTAATCATTTTTTTCTTGACTTATTAGGAATGCAGTAAATCACAGCTGTCGATATATGTGCTGCTAAACGGTTGCCATGCGATATTGTGGGTAAAACCTGTTATAAAAAATACACATTCTTTGCAGTTTTTTTTATTGTATACAGTTAAAGAAGAAGTGAACTAGACATTAACCTGTTTGGAGAATAACCAATAGTGGGCGGTCAGTACCTCTTGAGATCCTCTGCTACTGAATCAGTACTCAAAATCTTCCCTGTGGGAATTAAACCCACTACCCTCTTAACAACAATGCCGATTAAGGCAGCTAATTAAGGGTTTTACTAAAATCAGATGTCTTGGGCCGCAAGGTGTAGTAGATAAGGCAGCCTAGCTGTAAACCACAACAAAAGATGCCAACTGCTCTTTTAAAGACAAGCGCAGAAAAAAAAAGTAGTAGAAATGAGGGATTACCTGTGTGAATGAGTCATACATACTGGGTAGTGACCTGAGTTAACCTCAGGCACAGATTTGGCCTGATGTTTGCAGAGTGCTAAGATCAAGGACATGTGACCTGGTGTTTTTTCAAACTATAAGTGTAGTGCAAGGATCCAGGTCGGCTCGCCTCCAAGATTGTCTAGGAAAGTGAATGGGCCGAAACAATTGTTTAAACAGGGACACCTACTGAAGATCCGTGGACTCCTGTTGTGCATGCTCCGGCTATGGGGTTCTTATTATTATTATTAGGGGCTTAACAGTTTGGATTTTGGTCAAACTAAATGTATGCCTATAAAAGGTCTATTTATGTGTAAATGTATGCTTCCACATAGAGATGTGAATGTAGGCTTACATTCAGGAATGTGTATACTTGAATTTAGGCTTACAAAAGGAGTTTTGTACATGGGGGAGTCAGTCAAGTAAGTTACAGACGGTGGTTTAAAAAAAATTAAGACGATAACTTGATAACTATTTATCGTCTGTCAGTTGTCTGGGTACCCACACTGAGCACACTTTCTTAAATTTCAATCGATCGTGCATTATTTTGTACACTGAACCATATGAGCACCCTATTGCAGCTGCTACAGAGTCAACCGTTACTCGTCAGTCACCTCTAATCATCTCCTCCACCCGCTGCACTAATGCACCTGTTGCAGTCTTAACAGGACAACCAGATCGGACTTCACCAACAATTGTAGAGCGCCCGTGATAATATTTTTTTTTACCCAGCTGTGCACCGCTTTATGGGATTAACATTTGTCAGAATAGACAGGAAGCATTTCTTTACGACTGTCCTTTATAGGCAGGCGTTTTGTCCGCCCCCCCCCCCCCCCCCCCAAATGCCCCTGCACAACAGCACGTTGTTCTTTGAGGGTACACTCCATAAGAACAGTTGCCATTTTGTTTCTGTGTTGCTAATGCATATGTATTACCTAGCGCCACCTAACGAATGGAGACGTAAAGTTTGATGTTGCTGTCACCCAGTGACAATTTAGATCCACCAACTGCATTTTTCTGCCATCCCATAACCATTTGTGACTTACTTATTGACTTCAGCTCGTATATGGAAACTCAGCCCTACCTATAGCTGAGTATTTGTGAATGCACACTTTCATACTGAATTGTGTAATTGAATGCTTACATACAGGACTGTGTATGTGTAAATGTATGTTGCAATGCAGGAATTTGTGCTCACATACAGTGTTTATATGTAAATGTAGGCATAGGCTTGCAAATATAAATGAGTATATTTGAAGTGAATGTAGGCCTTACATACAAAAGTGTGTATTGTAATGTGTGCTTACATAGATTGTCTGTGTAAATTTATGCTTACATAAACCATGTATATATTAGTGTTTGTTTTCATACTGGAGTGTCTATACGTGAATGTATGCTTTTATATATGAGTGTGTAGTTGTGTACTTCCACACAGGTATGTGTGAATGTTTTCTTAAATAGAGTGATGTTTTATGTGAGTAGGCTTCTATAGTAATGTGAATGTAGGCTTATGTATATAGTAATGTGTACATGTGAATACAGAGAGTCGCAGTGGCGTTAAGGCTAGACACTCACCCGCGGATCGGATGGTCATGAGTTTGGGTCCTGGCGGAGCCAGACTTTGTAAAAATGACCTTGGCTCCCAGGTCAACTAGCCTTGTGTGGGTACCAGGTGCAGTCCTGGTAAGTCAAGGCCACCAGCACAACGCTGACCATTTCACCCACCGAGCGCCGAATAATATAAAATATAGGTCTAGCCCTATATAGATCACACTCTTGTTTCTTCTTGTTTAGGTAAATGATAGTGTATATGGGAATGAATTAGTTTTTGTGTAGTATACATGTGCTGACTGTCAAAATGTCTATTCTCTTTATTATCAAGAGTATTTATTAAGAGATCTCTGACATGGCACCAGTTTATCCTATCAGTATTCATCAAGATATCTCTAACATGGCACCAGTTTATCCTATCAGTATTCATCAAGATATCTCTAACATGGCACCAGTTTATCCTATCAGTATTCATCAAGATATCTCTAACATGGCACCAGTTTATCCTATCAGTATTCATCAAGATATCTCTAACATGGCACCAGTTTATCCTATCAGTATTCATTAAGATATCTCTAACATGGCACCAGTTTATCCTATCAGTATTCATCAAGATATCTCTAACATGGCACCAGTTTATCCTATCAGTAAGCATTTGAAGCTCATGGTATTTTATGGGTAACATGCATTTAAAGGAATTGTTACAGCTGCTAGCTAAGAACATTGGCTGTTATTCCAGAGACAGTGTCAGTGTTAAAGACAGCTACATGAGTACATAAGTGAGAACATTTTTACATGAGTCATAGATATTGTTACATGGTAAGAAAAATGGTTACATGAGAGAACAATCTCCATGAATTGTAGAAAGTTTAACATCATAAAAAATGTTACATAGTGAGAAAAATCGTTACGCGTGTGATAAAATTTTTACTGAAGTCGTATATAAATGGTTACTTAGTGAGATAAATGGTTACATACCCGAGAACATTTGACATGATTTATGAAAATCGTTATAAATCGATAGAAATTGTTACATTAACGAGAGGGTAAGTAATTGTTACTTACCTGGGTCTCTGTTTCAGATGGTCAAATTAGCACATGTCATGACGACAACTAGAAACAGTCATCGGTGGGCCTTCCAGGGAAATATATAGGCCCACTGACCGTACCTTTATATTTTGGGAACATTGTGATGTTGTTATTAGACAGGGAGGTCACGGTAAACAGCCTTGACCCATTATATCTGGGCTGGTAATAACAGTCGATGGAAGGTATGTATATTTTGTTTCCTAAATGTGTCATTAAAAATTACGTATAGTGAAAATAAACACAGTAAAATGGAGAGAAATTAGAACAAGTTTCTCCTGTCTTGGACATTAATAAATGATGGTAAAAATGGAATAGAAGCCAAAAAGAGAATAGTAAAAAAAAAAAAAAAAAAAAAGGAAAGGACCCTCTTCCACAACTTCAAGTCTATTGGGTATATAGGGCTAGACCTATATTTTATAGACCAGTCAGAGGTTTTAAAAGACCAGGAATTAGTTTCTGAAGAAAAAAAAAACAGCACTGGCGAATTATTTCAGTCTTGTTAAAAGTCAATATATAGGAGGGAAAAGTTGAAAGTAAGCTTGAAAAAGGCAAACCATGATACAAGTGGTAGTATAATTTGAAGAGATTGACAACAGCAGTCTGAGTGAGTTTTGTATATTCAAGGTGAAAGACAGATCACTTTGGAAATCCATTGCAGCCAGCCTTCATTGTGGAGAGGGCTTCCTTTGTATTTCTAAAGGTCACATACCATGATAAATAAGAGGCTGAGTATACAAATGCGAGGCCAAGAAGTCATGTGCAGGACTTGATTTCTTTAGTGAAGCCCCTCTCAGAGCACAATGTAACAACTCTGCATTTCCAGAAACCTCCTTTGATGGTGGGGATTGCCTTTGTTCTGTCTTCATTCCCTTGAGGGCCAGCCAGCCAGCCTGCATGCAGCTTCCCTAGATGGGTCACCTAGGTGCAAAACTTGTGGATCGGGGATAAAGAAGTCAACACACAAATGAAGCTGTAAAGTATCCCAGAAAATTAACTGGCTAACCTGATAAAGAAATGCCAGATACAATTGGATATGCCGGCAGAAGGATGCAAATATCACGACTGTGCTTTTAACAGGCACAGCATAGTTGTGTCACTCGGATGAATGGTAAAGGAGATTGATTGACCCTGCCAGGGGATGTAGGCACTCATCCGCAGATCTTGGCCTTCAGTGGTGTGGATGCCGGGGCTCCGCTGGGGAGTGGGGAGGGGGGAATTGACCCACTGCCTCCCTAACAAGCATGTTGTATAAGGCAACTAATTAGCAAATTTGACTCCGAAGGCCGAGTGCATCATCTGATTGGGGAGAAACCAGTAGTCTGCATACAACTAAGCCAGATCTGTAAAATGGATTTGCATGCAAAATAAATGTACTGGAACAAAACTGAATCCAGTAATTGACGAACAGCCATTGAACACTAAGAAGAAGAAGGAGAAGAAGCATATTGAATTAATTTTATTTACGAAATTCCTCCTGACACTGTATAAGACTGTGCCAGCCTCTCAAAAAGATGTTCTATAATGTCAACGTTCAAAAGTCTTCATCTTCTGCTTTAGTGAATGTAGAATAATCCGTATTTCACATCCTTCTTTTCCTTGTGGGTTGCAGGACCCTCTTTGGGGAGAAAAAGAGAGATCTGCACTCCTTTAACAAACATGTCAAAAAGACGACTAATTAAAGGTTTGCTGAATTCAACTGTGTCAGGCCAAAAGACAGATTTTGCAGCCTAGCTGTAAATCACAGCGCAATAGGCTTATTGCCCTTTTAAAGGTGAATGCGGAAAAAGAAGTATTGTACCTGGCAGAACAGTCATAACTATCTCCCTATTGTACCTGGCAGAACAGTCATAACTATCTCCCTATTGTACCTGGCAGAACAGTCATAACTATCTCCCTATTGTACCTGGCAGAACAGTCATAACTATCTCCCTATTGTACCTGGCAGAACAGTCATAACTATCTCCCTATTGTACCTGGCAGAACAGTCATAACTATCTCCCTATTGTACCTGGCAGAACAGTCATAACTATCTCCATATTGTACCTGACAGAACAGTCATAACTATCTCCCTATTATACCTGACAGAACAGTCATAACTATATCCCTATTGTACCTGGCAGAACAGTCATAACTATCTCCATATTGTACCTGGCAGAACAGTCATAACTATATCCCTATTGTACCTGGCAGAACAGTCATAACTATCTCCATATTGTACCTGGCACAACAGTCATAACTATCTCCCTATTGTACCTGGCACAACAGTCATAACTATCTCCCTATTGTACCTGGCACAACAGTCATAACTATCTCCCTATTGTACCTGGCACAACAGTCATAACTATCTCCATATTGTACTGGCACAACAGTCATAACTATCTCCATATTGTACCTGGTACAACAGTCATAACTATCTCCCTCTGCCAGGATCATTCTCTGTAATATCTGGCCTGTTTTGTTTTAAGCTTTATTATGCAGACTTTCATGTCTGTTTAACCTAACTAAAAATCTCATAAATGTGAAAATACTAGTGATATGTAATCTGTAGGATAAATGCATGCAGGTCACCCCATAATTTCTCCATTCCTGTGTCAAGGAAAATCAAACAGAATATCCATAACTGTTCTGTGTAGAAAAAAAATTGACACAGCATGCAGTGTTAGCAAAGCCAGTAGCGTAGCATTCACACACATTTGATGACAACAAAATTAATACAATTTGTTTTGTTTTTCTTTGTGAAAATTCTAGCAGAACAAGAGGAAACTATAGCAGAGAACAACATCTTTTGTATATCCCAAAATTCTCTACCAGAAATCCAAACATCACGGTCGTCAGAATCAGGACATGTGTCCACTACATCCTCTCAAGTGTTAGATCTGAGAGACTCCCCACTTGACAGTGTACATTTAGACACTTCAAGGACTTCTTTCATCGTAGCAACTGCTTATTGTCAGTCACATAAAAATGGCTGTGAGCATTTATCAGTGGACTCTTGTAAAACAGCTTCTAAACAAGACGGTACATCTCAGAATTTAGAGGTGTTTGATTTGTATCATTCAGAACACAGACCGGATAAAAACAGTGTCCTTGCAGTTGAGGTTTTATCTTCTGGGCACCACACTACTGACTGTGGACGTAAGAAATCTACTGGGTCAACTTCACGCGGGCAGACACCAACACCTGGCCATGAAATCAAGCAATGTGGATTTAGAATAGATGCCAGGTTGTCTTCTGATGTAGAAACAGGTATTGAGCAAGAAGCAGCTCAGGGGACACAGTACTTGTTGCCTGAAACCTCTGGATTTGTGAGCACCTTACAGGGAGTTACTCGTGAACTGAAGAGAGGCAGAGGACGGCCTCGTAAAGAAGGATTGCTTCTTCGCACTAATAGGTCTAGGTAAGTTTATACTCAATTTTCGTAACAGTAAAGTTTAGCTTAGTTTCTTTAATTCCCCTCTATCTGCCAGCGAGACTCAACAAGCACTCATATAAATTGGGTATTAGGCAAACAGCCCTCTGCCAGTGTCTTCCTGCTGAAGAGACTGCAGAAATATGGTTTGCAAAACTCTTCTAGAGGAGCTGGGAATCATGTGCCCACATCAAGTAGACCTGACAATAAAGCTCTGGGGAAAACCCTTCTGACACCCCAGTTTATGGTCCACAGTCTATCAAGTGCATGACCAGAGATTGTTGATCTTCCAGTGGAGCATTGATTCTCAGCCATCCCATGCAATCATCCTTTTCTAATCCATAGTTTTAAGGTTAATCAGCACCTGATAGATCATATGACCAGCATCATCCTGACCATTTTGACTTCTTATGACATTTCCTGGCACCATTCTAGGTCGGGTCAAATTGAGAGCTGAGATCAGTTATAAAATTCCGCCCCAGTGCAGAATCACATTGAAGACCTTTGATCTAGCAGGCAGCACCAAGCTGCTGTAGTACACACACTGTGAAAAATAAACTTAATGACAAAACGCATGCCTGTTCCACTCCTGTCTTAAGGCTGTCCCAGGTACAACATATCAAAGCAAAACTTTTGGCCAAGAGAAACACTGATGGAAGTCAAACCTTGCGGGCTGTTGAGGGAATTAAAAAAGACAATAATTTTCATAATAGAGGGTCCTAATGGAGCAGTGATGCGCAATACAAGACTCCTAATGTCTATTAGCCTCTCCTGCTCAAGCTTACCTCACCTTCACGTGGTGGACCCTTATCTTCCCAGCAATCCAGTTGAAGGTTGGGGTCTCAACCCCCAGCAGGAAGCTGGATGGGGCAACAAATGAGGGAAAGGCGAAGGAATGAGCCTACTCTCCTTGAGTATGATCACAGTCAACCCTTGCAAAACAAAGTGCTGAAGTTGGAGCAACCTGCCAGGAGGTGCACCACAGCAATCAGGATGCTTTGCCATTACGCCATGGGGGCGAACGGAAGAAGAAGATAATAAAGAGACAACATTGCAGATAAAATGTATTTCAAGCTAATGAAAGAACAGCTCCTGTCTTATTTAAAACACATATGTTTTCTACCCTCCATGGGAGCTCATTATTTCGTGTCTATTTCTTTTGTTGTCCTACTGTTTGCATCACAGAGAGGAGTTTAATGTAGTTTCCTGTCTTTTGCTAGTCGCATAGCTTCTTTTAATGTCATATTGTGTTTCTGTAGTGTTGCTTTTACTCCCTCTCTTGCCTTGTTCCCTGCTGTTGTCATGTAGTACTCTAGCTGCTGGCTGATTTTGTTACATTCTGGCCAGATGAACCAAACTACTTGATTCTTTGTTCTGTGACATCAGTTATGGGGACTGTGCCTGCTATTGTTCTTAGTTCTTCATTGGTGACTGTGCATGTTTGTCTAGAACTGTTCGTGGCCTGACAGTGATAGCAAAAAAATTTATACAAAAAGTGAATTTATCAGCTGCTTTTGTGTGTGTGTATATTTATATTTTGGTGTCACAAAAGTTTGACTACCATCTATCATGTCTTTATATACTGCCTTTATTGTGTTATTGAATTTTGTTGGAAAAATTTTTCCATCAAAGATTTTCTCATAATTCACAAATGCAAGACAGTGGCGAGTCATTTCAGCATTTGCTCTTTTATTACGCACAGTGTGACTATCTGATCAGTGCAGAATCAGCTTGTTTGTCCTGTTTGTTCATTTCTTTTTTATTTTGGGTCAAAATTATTTCTCAGAATTCTCCAGAATGGTCCGTATTAATATTTTATCAGGAACTTAAATCTTTATTGAGCATTTACAGTTAAGAAATTTGTGTGAAAAACCCTGGTCTGAATTAAGAATTACAAAATGTCATTTGTTGTTTAAAAAAAAATGTTCAAAACTAAGAAATATAAATGTCATTTATTTGTCATCTTAATTTGGATTTTGTGGCTCAGTTTGGGGGGGGGGGGGGGGGGGGGTAGACTCACATGTCAGACAAGGTGACTAATTAAGATTTTTTTTTTGATACTGGATATGTTGGGCAAAAAGTGCAGATTTCACAGCCTAGCTGTAAACTACAACACAACATGTCAAGTGCATCTTAAAGGGAAAACAAAGAAGAAGAATTTTTTATCAAACCTTGTAGGCTGCTAGCACATATTGTTTAAACTAGATTCTCCTTATTATTTGTCGTTAGTATATGATATTAGTGGTGATGCAATGAAAGACATTTAACAACGACTATCAATTGCTCTTTAAAGACTAAAACAACTGAATAAATTATGGAGTGGGACATGCAGAACTACAAAAATTAAATTTCTAAGAGCATGCATCTTGCCAATTGCAACATACACCTGTGAGACCTGGACAATTACTAAACAAGCTGAACAGCGCATAAATGCCTTTGAAAAAAAAATGTTATAGGCAGGTTCTAAGAATATCATGGGTAAAGAAAAGAACAAATGCATCCATACTTCAGGAACTGAATATTGAAGAAGGTTAGCTATTAAAGACGATAAAACACAGACAATTGAAATAATTTGGTCACTTGAAACGTCATGGAAGTCTAGAGAGAACAGTAATGGAGGTGTATAGGCCTGGGAAGAGAGGAAGAGGAAGGTCAAAGAGAAGATGGGTGCAGGATGTGGTAGATGATCTCCAGATGGGTGTATCGGACGCGGGACATCTTGCTTGTGATCGAGAAGTTTTCCAGAAGGTTGTTATGGGAGCAAGGTTCTGCAAAGGACAGGCTACTGACTAACTAATGTGATATCAACCAAGATTTCTCCTTGTTGTTCGTTGTTAGCACAAATAATCTCATACTTGTATTCTCATTGTTTGTTTTTTGTTAAGCTCTACCAGCATTAATTAGTGTCATTATATTTCTTCCAAGATTTCTCATATTAATTTTTTTGGTAGCACTATACTTGTGAGGTAAACAGAATAGGTCCAGTGCTTTCGTAACAAGCATGTCATAAAAGGCTAGGTTTTTTTTTGGGGTTGAAGTTTGTGTCTGCCTGAGAGCCGAGGACCCAGGAATTTTAAAACAAATAAGCCAGATCTGTACAATGGATTGGCAAGCAAAACTCAAGTTCTTGAACAAAACTAAAGTCTACGAGTGAATGTACAACCAGTACTTTCTTCTGGAGTTTAGAGGTAGTAAACACGAAGAAGAGTTGGTAGCTCAATTTTGTCTTCATCCAGAATTTTTATCATTTGAAGCAATGTGTTTGCTTTTATCAATTAAGAAACGTCTGGCAAATTTTCTGTTTCTCATCAAATGCATACTCCTAAATTAGATCAACATACAAGGAAGCGTAAAAATTAACCCTTTTGTCTGAAATGCACAGTCTATTGTTTCAGTGTGTTACTACGGTAATGTTCTCACCTGTTACTTTTTAAACATTTTTTTAAAGTGACTTAGACAAGAATACAAGTCGTCACTTAAGCAGCAGAGGACATAAAAAAGTTGGTCGCCCTGTTGTAAGGGGTTGTCGAGGTGGCAGACGGGGAAGGCCACCGTACCTTCATGTAGGCCTGGCATGTGTGGCTTCGTCTCCATCATCTGAGGGAGATTTCTCCAATCCTTTACTGTCACCTGCAGACTTTGCTCAGGCGGCCTCTGCCACCAAGCCTGACATCCTTCTGCCACGTGGAATGGCGGATTTCTCAAGGCAGTCTTCTGTAACATCAACATCTGGTGCCTCTGATGGCGGGACTGTTGGTAAGTGTGACTAGAAATGTCTGTGTGGGTCTGTACTATTATTTTTTATTTGGTCAGTGTTTGTCTACCTCTGACCGTCTTTTAGTTGCCTTGTGTGTGTGTGTTAACCTCTTTATGCCTGTTTTGTTACCATTTATAACTGTGTCTATATCTTGTCTGTTTGGTTATCATGTGTATGTGTGTGCCTCTCGTTGCCTAATTGATTGCCATGTAAGCATCTTGCCTGCCTTTTTGTCTGTCAGATATGTGTATGTGTCATTACCTGAGACTGGCTGTTAAGTTGTAATCTTTTTCTTCTTCACGTTCACCGACTGTAAACATCCATTTAAAAGATCTAACTAATTTGTGTGCATACTGTTGGTTCCTTGCCTCTAAGGCAGATGCACTTTGACTTCGTAGGAAGCTCCCAATTAGTCGACTCTTACGACATGCTTTTGGGTAGGCAGTGGGTCTGTTCTTGTTTTCCCTATAATAGGGCACCGGAACCCACACAGAAATTTAGTTGTAATTCAGAGTGTCAGCTTTTGACAGTAAATTTGTGTGTGTGTGTGTGTGTGTGTCTGTCCGCCTACCTGTGGTTGCTGTGTGTGTATATGTGAGTGTGTTTCTGACCTTTACTGTCTGTCTGATTAATTAATTAATCAGGGTTCCAGCTTCACAGCAAAAAGGTCACCCCACAGATGCTCCTTTCCTGTACCAGCACAAATAACAAAACAAAAAAATGAGACACAGTGTCCATCATCAACCCTTGTGGAAAAATGTTGAAATAGACTTCAGTCTCAGCAAACCAATAGCACACAAACTTATTAAATGCATAAGACGGCCATAACAATACAGCCACAAACAGCCCATCACTAGAATTTTGTAGATGGAAGCAGCAATTACAGCAGATCAGCATTTGCACATGCAGTATTCCATAAACCACCACCAGCTTTGTGGCAGCAGGCTACTCACCATTTTCTGAATCACATTTCACAACACTGACAACATTGGGCACAGCTGAAAAGCATTCTTAATGAATTTGGAAGCTCACAGTGTCCTGCCATGCACTCAGCTCAGGAGCTGGGCGACAGAAGTATATACTTTCAGTCCACATATAGGGCAAATTCAACAGCCAACAATATCTGTAACAAATAACTTGCCAAAACTAAATGTCTGTCATTCTTTCTGCCATATTGGATCAAAATTCTGACCTGTCTGATTTATTGCCATGTATGAGTATGTGTCATCTCTGACTGTCTGTCTGGTTGCCATATTCATATATGTGTATGTATTTGTCTGCCTCTGTCTGCCTGTTTGATTGCCATGTTTGTATCTCTCTACCTGTGTTTTGTTTGTCATGTATTTGTAGCTTAACCTCTTTGTCTGGTTGCCATGTTTGTGTGTCCACCTTTGACTGCCAGTTTGGTTCTTATGTATGGTCTGGTTGCCATGTATGGTCTGACTGTCTGAATGTTATGTATGGTCTCTCTGTCTTCTGTCTGGTTGTCGTGCGTTGCCATGTATGGTCTGACTGTCTGAATGTCATGTATGGTCTCTCTGTCTTCTGTCTGGTTGTCGTGCATTGCCATGTATGGTCTGACTGTCTGAATGTCATGTATGGTCTCTCTGTCTGATTGTCGTGCGTTGCCATGTATGGTCTGACTGTCTGAATGTCATGTTTGGTCTCTCTGTCTTCTGTCTGGTTGTCGTGCGTTGTCATGTATGGTCTGACTGTCTGGTTGTCGTGTATGGTCTCTCTGTCTTCTGTCTGGTTGTCGTGCGTTGCCATGTATGGTCTGACTGTCTGAATGTCATGTATGGTCTCTCTGTCTTCTGTCTGGTTGTCGTGCGTTGCCATGTATGGTCTGATTGACTGCTCTGACTGTCTGGTTGTCATATATTGTCTGACTGCCTCCAACTGTCTGGTTGTCATATATAGTCTGACTGCCTCCAACTGTCTGGTTGTCATATATAGTCTGACTGCCTCCAACTGTCTGGTTGTCATATATAGTCTGACTGCCTCCAACTGTCTGGTTGTCATATATAGTCTGACTGCCTCCAACTGTCTGGTTGTCGTGTGTGGTTTGACTGAATGCTTCTGACTGTCTGGTTGTCATGTAGTCTGACTGGTTGTAATGAATGGTCTGACTGGCTGTCTAGTTGTCATGTATGGACTGATTGGTTGTCATGTAAGGTTTGACTGGCCATCTGCTTGTCATGTATGGTTTGACTGACTGTGTGGTTGTTGTGGATGGTTTGACCGACTGTCTGGTGGATGTGTATAGTTTGACAGACTGTATGGGTGTCATAAATGGTTAGACTGACTGTCTGGTTGTCATCTATGATCTGATTGTCTAGTTGTCATAAATGGCTAGACTGAGTGTCTGGTTTTCATGAATGGTTTGACTGACTGACTTGTTGTTGTGCATGATTTGACTAACTGACTGGTTGTGTATGGTTTGACTGACTGATTGATTGTTGTGTATGGTTTCACTGACTGATTGGTTGTTGTGTATGGACTGATTGTTGTGTATGGTTTGACAGACTGGTTCTTGTGTTTGAGATGGCTGACTCACTGGTTGTTGTGTATGGTTTAACAGACTGCCTGGTTCTTGTGTGTTATCTGACTGACTAACTGACTGGTTACTGTGTATGGTTTGACTGACTGGTTGTTGTGTATGCATGTGTCTTTCTTTTTGCATTTTTACACTGTGCACTTTAAAATTCCTATTAAATCAGTGGCTCTCAACCTTACTAATGCCGCAACCCTTTAATATAGTTCCCTCATGTTGTGGCGACTCCCAGACAATTATTTTCCTGAATTACTTCAATGAATATGTGTTTTCCTATGGTCTTAGGCGACCCCTGTGAATGGGTCGTTCGATTAAAAAAATTTTGCAACCAGCAGGTTGAGAACCACTGTATTATATCATGTATATGTAAAACTCTGCCTGTCTGCTTCTTTGTCTTGTAAATATGGATTTTTCTGCCTGTCTGTCTGGCTGCCATATAGCATATAGCCACTTATTTACTTATCTCTGTACCAGCATGTCCTTCCATTAATCTGTTAATCTGCCTCAGATTTTTTGTTTCTTTTTCTTTCTTGTTCCCTTCTTTGTGTTCACCTTCTGTAAACTCCAGTGGAAAGTTCTGGTTGGTCGTTCACTTCTGGACTTTAGTCTTCTTCCAGAACTTGAATGTTGCATGCATATCTTTTACAGATCTGGCTTATCTGTATGCAGGCTTGAGTCCTTGCCTCTCAGGCAGATGCACTCTGACTTTAAAGAAAACCCCTGATTAATCAGCTCTTATGACGTGTGTGTTTGGTAGGCTGTTAGTCTTCTCTTGTTTGTCCCCATAATGGGGCCCTGGAAACCAGATGGGAAAGGTTCTTTGTTTGATTGTGCATATTTAAATAGCTATCTGTGTCTGTTTTCCCTGTTTTTCAAATTTGTGTTTGCATAGTTGTCTGTCCATTAGTGGAAGCAGCCTGACATATCTTTTTTTGACTATTGACAGACTTCTCCTTTTCTTGTTCAGGTTCTTTGTTGTTTGATTATATACTTATGAAAACCGGTCTGTGTCTTTTTCCTTGTTTTCAGTTACATGTATGCATGTCTGTCTGTCCATTGAGGAGGACTGACAGATTCTGACTGTAAACAGACTTCTCCTTTTCGTTCATGCATGTATGTGTGTAAGTGAGCGTGTGTATGTGGGTGAAAGTATGTGCGCGCTGGTTTTTTCGTGCATTTTACAACTCATGCTTTTGTGTTCTTTTGCAGTATTCATAATATTCATATCATCATATGACCCTAACATGCTTTATTAGTAAAATACAACTGCTTTGCAAAGGATGGGTGATTAGAAGGGCTGAATGTAAGATGGGCCTCCTGCGTGCCCAATTTGAGACCCTTTGAAAATAAAGTTTGTTCGTCCATTTGTGATCAGCTCTTAAAATAAGTGGTTTTTGCCAGGTTTGGTGTCTGTGACTTGCTAAGTATTCATACATATTTTGTGAAAGTATCCTGTTGTAAAACTTGCCCTAGACGTAAATAGACCAACTGGCACAGTGAGTATTGTAGCCAGTATAGTTCTGACATTAAGTTTTCTGTTGTACATTTCACACTTTGATTGACTTGAAAACCTAGGTCAGTGTGTTTAAAAAAAAAATAAAAAATCTTTGGCAGTGAAGATTTGAATAACAGCCGGACTGACAGGCACTTGTGAAATCCCGATTGCTCTTCTGCTTCCCATAACTGGCTCCCATAATGGCTGTTGCGCCTTTAGTGGCTAATAAACAGTAAAGCTGCTCTTGATGTGGCCATGAAATCATGAGACTATGTCTCTATAATGTATTTAACTTCACAGTCACAGGGATTTTAGCATTAGAAGCCTAAGGGAGTAGTCAAAAGTGATGTAAAAGCGGCGCATTATGCGTTCATTGGGCTTCTAGGTAGGAACCTGTGAAAGTATGTTGCATTCCTTGGGACTTAGAGAGTTAAAACTCAAGCCCGTAAATGTGCTGCCAAAATTATAAAATAAATAGTTTAATTTAGTGACTGAGTTTTTGGTATCTGTAAGATAATAGGTGTAAGCAATATTAACATTAACATAAGATAAGCTCACCTTGTTTCAAGACTGTATGTCACTGTTTGCAGCACCAGGTGGAGTGTCTGCATCACCTGGATACATGGCACATTCCAGCAGCATGCCTGGCACACCTACAGATGTTTCCCCAACACCAGAATCACAAAAGTAAGACCTTACCAGTTTTTTTAGACTTGAGTTTAACTGGCTTTTGTCCTCTTCAGTATGTCAGTTAGCATTTAACAAATTTAACAACTTGTTCATTTTGCTGCATCTTTTTTTAACTTACATTTTTAAAAAACTACTATTGTCCAATTTTTAACATAAAAAATGTTGTCTAGAAATGTTTAAGTGTGCTTCAGCAATACTTTTAGAATTTTCAAATCTACTCTACAGTTAGATTAATAATATTTGACTAACTTATATTTCAAAATTTCTAGGGTTTTATAAGCTATGCAGTTGTACTTTCATAGAGTTTGCCGGCCATACTACATTTAAATAAAAATAAAATGTAAAGGACTCTTTTTCCACACCTTGAGAGTAATTGATATATGGTGCTAATCAAATCTTTTGTTGTTGACCAATCAGCAGTTGAAGTGTGATGCGGTCTGTAATTTATTCACCCTAGCAACAGTATCCTTGTTAAGAGTTTCTTTCACACATCCTTGTTCCCCTATCAAGAATTCACAACACATCCTAGTTTCACTGTCTAGAATTTACTAAAACATTCTAGCTTCCATGTCTAGAATAACCTGACACTTCATAGTTTTCATGTATAGAACTCCCTAGCACATTCTTGTTTGACTAGAATTTACCAGCTTATCCCTAGTGTTACTATTTACTTCCTGTAACCCTATCACCCAGAGACACCCTGAACCCGTTACTGTTCCATTCCTGTAAAAGACTCGAAACTGGCATATAGGCTGTGACGTGTTTCTGAGAAACCTAGTTTAACAGCGTTGGTTCTGTTCATACCTGCACAGTATTTAGGAGGCTGGTATATCAGTACATTTTCTACAAATAGCAGTTAGGATTGATCCCTCTTGACCTTCTTTGTTAACTCGAAAGAAAAAGGTACACCAGTATGATAGATGGAAGATTTATTAGAAATAAATATTATAGATCTAACAGTTTGCAATGTTATTAATAATTTGTGAAAATCGTTGCGCCTGTATCCTTTCATCATTTCTGCACTAATAATTTTAAATGTGGCTTTTAAATATTAGTGGTTTGATATCCATAAAAGTATGTAAACTTGTTTCATTGTAGTTCTGGACATCTGTGCGCCCTTTGTAACTGTGGAGAGAGGAGCTTGCTGGGCCAGGGTGACATACTGAGGTTCGAACCCAGTGAAGGGTTTGATGTTTTCAAACTGTTAGAACCGAAAACACTACGAGAAGCAGATGAAGTCGATACACTTGGTAAAAGCAAAGGGCCACCGCCGCCAACATGGAGGAGATCAAGAGGACCTTTGAAGACAGGAAGGTGTGTTATAAACCTTTTTTTTTTTTTTGGCTCTTTGGGCAGTGCAAAAGAACAGATAAGATATCCATAAGGCTAATTCTCCTTGTGGGTTCCAGGACCCCATTTTAGGGAAAACAAGAATAAACCCACTGCCTCCCCAAAAAGCATGTTGTAAGAGTCAATCAACTGGGGGCTTCCTTTGAAGCTGGAGTGCATCTGCCTGAGAGGCAAGGAACCAGCAGTCTGCATACAAATAAGTCAGATCTGTAAAACAGATGCACACGCGAAACTCGGGTCCTGGAACAAAGCAAAAGTCCAGAAATGGATGAACAACCAGGTCTTTCCACTGGAGTTAATAGCCGGTGAACGCAAACAACAACAACATAAGGCTAGTTCAACCCAATGTCTGTAGAGGTTCTGGAAAATATTCAACATTGAAGAGAAAACGAAGAAGGGGAGAGAGCACATGTGGGAATATCCCAAGTTAGTAAAAAAGTAAAGGACCCTCTTCCACTCCTTCAGGCGTATAGGGTTTACAGGGCTAGACCTTTATTTTTTAAGGACCAATTGGCACAAGATGGGTGATGTGGTCAGCATCGCGCCAGCCGCCTTTACTTCCCGGGACTGCACCCAGTACCTACTGAAGGCTGTGTCGACCTGGGAGCCAAGGTCATTTTTGAAAAAAGTCCAGCTCCGCGAGGGAACAAACCCACGGCTCAGGCACGATGACTCCCATATCCTAAGTGCAGAGATGTCAATTCTCAAATAATTTATTCATTTTATTTAAATAAAAATAAATGTTTGCTTTTTTATGTATGTATGGGTAAAACTGTACACTATTTCCTGATAAGCAATGAAGCTGAGAATTTGCACAAACTTGCTTTGTGGACATGCTTTTCATTCAGTTTTATATCTTTTATTTTTGTAGATGTCAGTACTACTTCAGTACTACTTGTGCAAAATATTCCAAGAATTTTTTTTTCCCAACTGAATAGTTTTTGGTTTTAAAGATTATATTTAATTGTAGTAACATTTTTGGAAAAGTTACAGAACTGTCAACAAAAGTTATGAAATTACTTAATTCATTTAACATTTATTCTGCTAGGAGATATGTTTCAGCGTGCAGTATTAGCTTTTCCCTGCTTCATTTCTCAACCTTGCTGGGATGATATTTTTTCTAACAATTTTCGCGGAGAGGAGATGAATAATAATAATTTAAAAATCAGAAAATTTATTGGTTATGTGTAATTATAGATTAAGAGTTTTAAATAACCTTATAAAAATAGCTTTTATTTCAAACACATAAGATAATCAATGCACTAAAAAATATGCATCATTTAGGTTAAATGACACGCGGTATTAAATCATTTTCTCTTTTTTATTAATGCTAAATAAAGTGCGGGGTTTTTTTGTTAGAAATACACATACTATCTAATTCGGTTCCCCAGGGTTCACCCAGCCTTTAGGTAATGGGTACCAGAGTTAACACTCTGGGGTAAATGAAGGAAAGTCGCTGTAGCTACGGAGTTGCGTGCAAATGGCGACACAGACGGACAGTTTCTTATCAGCTGTTTGTACTGGTGGCAGAGCACTTATGGTTTATAACCGTGTGCAATGACGCTGGTTGACATCTCCCGACTTTACCTTTACATGCCCCCATGAGGTCAGGCTGCCATTCTACCTTGGTGGGGATTTTACCCATAATACCATGCCAGTATATACACTCTTTAAAAGAGAGGTTGAAATCAGTATTGCAGATATATACAGTCTGTTTCAGGTAATTAGAAAGAAGAAGAAGGTGAGAAAAATGAGTATAATTTTTTGTTTCCTCCACAGAGAACGTAGTCGATCTCCTCGGCAGTCTGGGGAAAAAGAATCCAGTGGTTGTCCAGTTAGTGATGAATTATCCTTGGTCGGTTTCTCCGATGATACAGAAATCTCCCAGCTGTTTGAATCTTCTGGTGAGTCCTTTGTTGTGTTAGAGTCTGGGTTGGTGTTTCAGAAGAAGGGATTTTAATGTGATACTGTAACCATGAGCATTCCTGTGTGGGTTCCAGTGCCTTATTTTGAGTGGTACTTCCCCTCTTCCCCCAAGCAAGTTGTAAAAGGCATTTTGGGGTTTTGATGAATTGGTTATGTTGTTTTGCAGATATCACAGCCACAATACAATGTGCCAACCACCCTTTTAAGGCCTCCTGATATAAGTTTTCTAATAGATTTATTTTTGAAGAAGGTACTCACTTAGTTAGTTAGTCTTTCCTCTTGTGTCGAGTGCGGCACATAGGGCAGAGGTCATGACTCTCCATGCATGGCGGTTCGTTGCAATCTGTTGTAGGTCTTGGATGTTTGAGTGGCCCATGAGTGAGCCTTCCCTGATGATAGTTCTACGTAGGGTTTTCCTTGGTCTTCCACGAGATCTTTTCCCCTGTGGTGTCCAAATGAGGGCTTGGTAAGGAAGTCTTGATTTATCCATTCTAAGGGCGTAGCCGACATAGTTCCAGCGGCGTTTTCGTATAAAATTAGACACATACTCTTGCCTGCATTCTTGCCTTATGGTTTGGAAATCTGACCATTTGAAATTTAGTATTCTTCTAAGGCATTAATTTTCAAAACTGTCTAATTTTGTGTCTAGAGTTTTCGTTGATTTCCAGCTCTCGCATCCATAGGTACTCACTGCAAACTGTTTATTACATCGACGTTGCAAAATAAAAAAAGGCTGCCTCTAAAAAGTGCCAGTACTGCACAGTACCATTGTGTACCACCAGAAAAAAAATACACGTGCAGGCAGTTTTACAATACTTTCAGTCCTAAAGTCTGTGTACAGTAAAGAACAAACCTTTGTGTCTTCATGAGTTACAACAGTACCGTAATGTGACAGGACTGGTTCAGGTAACAACTAGGACATAATGGGTTAACATATTAGAAGAAAGGGAACATAGAAGTTAAAGAACATTTACAACATAATAAGTTGTCTAGTACTGAAAGGTCATTTTAAAAACCAAAATGCAACAAAAACAGTTCTAACAAAGATGACGGAAGTTTAATTAGTGAAAAAAATATGATATGTGAACAGAGATACTCTCTTGATATTTAAACAGAGATACTCTCTTGATATTTGAACAGAGATACTCTCTTGATATTTGAACAGAGATACTCTCTTGATATTTGCACCAAGATACTCTCTTGATATTTGCACCAAGATACTCTCTTGATATTTGCACCAAGATACTCTCTTGATATTTGCACCGAGATACTCTCTTGATATTTGAACAGAGATACTCTCTTGTTATTTGAACAGAGATACTCTCTTGATATTTGAACAGAGATACTGTCTTGATATTTGAACATAGATACTGCCTTGATATTTGAACAGAGATACTCTCTTGATATTTGAACAGAGATACTGTCTTGATATTTGAACAGAGATACTGTCTTGATATTTGAACAGAGATACTCTCTTGATATTTGAACAGAGATACCCTCTTGATATTTGAACAGAGATATTCTCTTGATATTTGCACCGAGATACTCTCTTGATATTTGCACCAAGATACTCTCTTGATATTTGAACAGAGGTACTCTCTTGATATTTGAACAGAGGTACTCTCTTGATATTTGAATAGAGATATTCTCTTGATATTTGAACAGAGATACTCTCTTGATATTTGAACAGAGATACTCTCGTGATATTTGAACAGAGGTACTCTCTTGATATTTGAACAGAGGTACTCTCTTGATATTTGAATAGAGATACTCTCTTGATATTTGAACAGAGATACTCTCTTGATATTTGAACAGAGGTACTCTCTTGATATTTGAACAGAGATACTCTCTTGATATTTGAACAGAGGTACTCTTTTGATATTTGAACAGAGGTACTCTCTTGATATTTGAACAGAGATACTCTCTTGATATTTGAACAGAGGTACTCTCTTGATATTTGAACAGAGATACTCTCTTGATATTTGCACTGAGATACTCTCTTGATATTTGAACAGAGATACTCTCTTGATATTTGAACAGAGATACTCTCTTGATATTTGAACAGAGATACTCTATGGATATTTGAATAGAGATACTGTCTTGATATTTGAACAGAGATACTGTCTTGATATTTGAACAGAGATACTCTCTTGATATTTGAACAGAGATACTCTCTTGATATTTGAACAGAGATACTGTCTTGATATTTGAACAGAGATACTGTCTTGATATTTGAACAGAGATACTCTCTTGATATTTGAACAGAGATACTCTCTTGATATTTGAACAGAGATACTGTCTTGATATTTGAACAGAGATACTCTCTTGATATTTGAACAGAGATACTCTCTTGATATTTGAACAGAGATACTCTCTTGATATTTGAACAGAGATACTGTCTTGATATTTGAACAGAGATACTGTCTTGATATTTGAACAGAGATACTGTCTTGATATTTGAACAGAGATACTCTCTTGATATTTGAACAGAGGTACTCTCTTGATATTTGAACAGAGGTACTCTCTTGATATTTGAACAGAGGTACTCTCTTGATATTTGCACCCAGATACCCTCTTGATATTTGAGCAGAGATACCCTCTTGATATTTGAACAGAGATATTCTCTTGATATTTGCACCGATATACTCTCTTGATATTTGCACCAAGATACTCTCTTGATATTTGAACAGAGGTACTCTCTTGATATTTGAACAGAGGTACTCTCTTGATATTTGAACAGAGGTACTCTCTTGATATTTGCACTGAGATACTCTCTTGATATTTGAACAGAGATACTCTCTTGATATTTGAACAGAGATACTCTCTTGATATTTGAACAGAGATACTCTCTTGATATTTGAACAGAGATACTCTCTTGATACTTGAACAGAGATTCTCTGATATTTGAACAGAGATACTCTCTTGATACTTGAACAGAGATTCTCTGATATTTGAACAGAGATTCTCTGATATTTGAACAGAGACACTCACTGTGTGGGTTTTTTAGGCCCATTTCTAGGGGGAAAACAAATAGGCCCCCTGCCTCCCTAGCAAGCATGTCATAAGAGTCCTATTCGGTGTTTCCTTCACAGTTGGAGTGTATCAGCCAGAGAGGCAAGAAATCAACCTTGTGCATGCAAATAAGCCATAGCTGTAAAAGGGATATGCATGCTAAACTAAAGTTCTGGAATAAGAGTAAAGTCCAGAAGTGGATGAACAACCAGAACTTTCTGCTGGAGTTTACAGACGTTGAGCAAGAAGAAGATGAACAGAATAATATTCCTGTGGAATAATTACTTCTGTACCTCTTTGCTAGTTTAATGATTGAACCATTCCTATATCTCTCCCCCCTCTCTTTCTCTATCTCTCTTTCTCTCTCTCTCTATCCCTCTCTCTGTCTGTCTCTTTTTTCATACCCTCCCTCAGTTCAACAGTTGGTACTATAAATAGCCATGGGTGTCTGATTTTTTAATGAAAGTGTATTACAAACCAAACAAATATATCAGATTACTGAATTATCAGAAAAGTATTTGTTAAAATTGTGAATCCAAGCATTATTATAGCTATAATTTTATTTCTGTTGATTTGTAAAACCAAAAAAAAAAGTTATGTACGTTGTGATCTCCAGGCCATGTGTGGGTTCACCATTGTTGTGCATTGTGGTCAGAGGAGGTGACCATGGGAGAATCCAATCAACTGACCCTTGTGGATAAAGCAGTTTACAGTGGCATGTCTCAAGTGAGTACCTGTTGTGTATAGCGATGGTGGCTGTGTATTCTGTGGTTTGTGGGTAGCTGTTTAAACAGTGGCTTTCTGTTTATTGTCATGTTGGTGTACGGTGTCACATGGACCACCGTTACTACTGTGGCATGTTAGCAGCTGTTTATACTTTGTGTAATGTCTTGTAATACAGTGGCAGGTGGGTAGCTGTTTATACAGTGGCAGGTGGGTAGCTGTTTATACAGTGGCAGGTGGGTAGCTGTTTATACAGTGGCAGGTGCGTAGCTCTTTATACAGTGGCAGGTGGGTAGCTGTTTATACAGTGGCAGGTGGGTAGCTCTTTATACAGTGGCAGGTGGGTAGCTCTTTATACAGTGGCAGGTGGGTAGCTCTTTATACAGTGGCAGGTGGGTAGCTCTTTATACATTGGCAGGTGGGTAGCTCTTTATACAGTGGCAGGTGGGTAGCTCTTTATACAGTGGCAGGTGGGTAGCTCTTTATACAGTGGCAGGTGGGTAGCTCTTTATACAGTGGCAGGTGGGTAGCTGTTTATACAGTGGCAGGTGGGTAGCTGTTTATTCAGTGTCAGGTGGGTAGCTGTTTATACAGTGGCAGGTGGGTAGCTGTTTATACAGTGTCAGGTGGGTAGCTGTTTATACAGTGGCAGGTGGGTAGCTGTTTATACAGTGGCAGGTGGGTAGCTGTTTATAGTGGCAGGTGGGTAGCTGTTTATACAGTGGCAGGTGGGTAGCTCTTTATACAGTGGCAGGTGGGTAGCTGTTTATACAGTGGCAGGTGGGTAGCTCTTTATACAGTGGCAGGTGGGTAGCTCTTTATACAGTGGCAGGTGGGTAGCTCTTTATACAGTGGCAGGTGGGTAGCTCTTTATACAGTGGCAGGTGGGTAGCTCTTTATACAGTGGCAGGTGGGTAGCTCTTTATACAGTGGCAGGTGGGTAGCTCTTTATACAGTGGCAGGTGGGTAGCTCTTTATACAGTGGCAGGTGGGTAGCTCTTTATACAGTGGCAGGTGGATAGCTGTTTATACAGTGGCAGGTGGGTAGCTGTTTATTCAGTGTCAGGTGGGTAGCTGTTTATACAGTGGCAGGTGGGTAGCTGTTTATACAGTGTCAGGTGGGTAACTGTTTATACAGTGGCAGGTGGGTAGCTGTTTATACAGTGGCAGGTGGGTAGCTGTTTATACAGTGGCAGGTGGGTAGCTGTTTATACAGTGGCAGGTGGGTAGCTCTTTATACAGTGGCAGGTGGGTAGCTCTTTATACAGTGGCAGGTGGGTAGCTGTTTATACAGTGGCAGGTGGGTAGCTCTTTATCCAGTGGCAGGTGGGTAGCTGTTTATACAGTGGCATATGGGTAGCTGTTTTTCCAGTGGCAGGTGGGTAGCTGTTTATACAGTGGCAGGTGGGTAGCTCTTTATACAGTGGCAGGTGGGTAGCTGTTTATACAGTGGCAGGTGGGTAGCTGTTTATACAGTGGCAGGTGGGTAGCTGTTTATACAGTGGCAGGTGGGTAGCTGTTTATACAGTGGCAGGTGGGTAGCTGTTTATACAGTGGCAGGTGGGTAGCTGTTTATACAGTGGCAGGTGGGTAGCTGTTTATACAGTGGCAGGTGGGTAGCTGTTTATACAGTGGCAGGTGGGTAGCTCTTTATACAGTGGCAGGTGGGTAGCTCTTTATACAGTGGCAGGTGGGTAGCTGTTTATACAGTGGCAGGTGGGTAGCTCTTTATACAGTGGCAGGTGGGTAGCTCTTTATACAGTGGCAGGTGGGTAGCTCTTTATACAGTGGCAGGTGGGTAGCTCTTTATACAGTGGCAGGTGGGTAGCTCTTTATACAGTGGCAGGTGGGTAGCTCTTTATACAGTGGCAGGTGGGTAGCTCTTTATACAGTGGCAGGTGGGTAGCTCTTTATACAGTGGCAGGTGGGTAGCTCTTTATACAGTGGCAGGTGGGTAGCTGTTTATACAGTGGCAGGTGGGTAGCTGTTTATACAGTGGCAGGTGGGTAGCTGTTTATACAGTGGCAGGTGGGTAGCTGTTTATACAGTGGCATATGGGTAGCTGTTTTTCCAGTGGCAGGTGGGTAGCTCTTTATACAGTGGCAGGTGGGTAGCTCTTTATACAGTGGCAGGTGGGTAGCTGTTTTTCCAGTGGCAGGTGGGTAACTCTTTATACAGTGGCAGGTGGGTAGCTGTTTACTGTTTATACAGTGGCAGGTGGGTAGCTCTTTATACAGTGGCAGGTGGGTAGCTCTTTATACAGTGGCAGGTGGGTAGCTCTTTATACAGTGGCAGGTGGGTAGCTGTTTTTCCAGTGGCAGGTGGGTAGCTGTTTTTCCAGTGGCAGGTGGGTAACTCTTTATACAGTGGCAGGTGGGTAGCTGTTTATACAGTGGCAGGTGGGTAGCTGTTTATACAGTGGCAGGTGGGTAGCTGTTTATACAGTGGCAGGTGGGTAGCTGTTTTTACAGTGGCAGGTGGGTAACTCTTTATACAGTGGCAGGTGGGTAACTCTTTATACAGTGGCAGGTGGGTAGCTGTTTATACAGTGGCAGGTGGGTAGCTGTTTTTACAGTGGCAGGTGGGTAGCTGTTTATACAGTGGCAGGTGGGTAGCTGTTTATACAGTGGCAGGTGGGTAGCTGTTTATATAGCTGTCCTATCCAGTTTCCTACTGAAGATTGAAACCTCAAACTTCCACTGGATTACTGCAGAGCACGGAGTCCACTGCCTGAAGGTGGAGTAGGCTTGAGCAAGAGAGGCTACGAGACTTAGTCTTGTATTGTACACTTTTGATATATATGGACCCTGGAGAGCTACTTACATTGGCATGGGGCAAGCTGTTTTATATATATATATATATATATATATATATATATATATATATATATATATATATATATATATATATATATATATATATATATATATATATATATATATATATATATATATATATATATATATATATATATTACATTTTTTTTTACCTGGATAATGTTTTCAATATTTTTTGTTTTAAATCCCAGGTAAATAATTCCAGTTATTTCTTAACTCTGTGTAATTACTCTCGTTCATACTGAAAAATATATATATATATATTTATATAAATAAGTTTAAGTGACTTTTGTAAAATGGTTGTTTATTTAAGGATTTTTGGGCTGGACTGTTTTTCCTAAAATTGTGTGGATTGAAACGGTTAACTGCTGCTATAGAGGCACCTTTATTCAGGACATCAGTAGTTCTTAAACTTGCTGTAGTGAAGCACTATTTCAGGACTCATCAAGTTTATTTTGTATGCTTTTGCAGAGATGTGCTCACTGTCGGAAGTTTGGAGCTACAGTTGCTTGCTGTATACCGGAATGTGGAAAGAGGTTCCATTTCCCTTGTGCATCAGCTGGGGGATGTTTTCAGGTAACTGGCTTTCTGACAGGAAAATCAACTTATACAACACATTAGAAAGAGCAAACAGAGGCAAAAAATATACCCTAACAGGACCTCAATAACGTGTCAATTGCGTACTTCTGGGGACTATAATGCCACCGCCAAGAGTATCCCCATGCCGCGTGATTGGGGCTAAACTAGATGGCTAGGACTCACGAGCAAATAAAATGAAGGAAGCTGCAGGAGATGCAGTAGCTGCTGCTCATGAGTCCCAGCCATCTAGTTTAGCCCCAATCCACGCAGCATGAGCGGCGCGGGGGATAGACACTCTCGGCGGTGGTGGAAGTAGCCGGAAGTGCGCAATTTAAGACGACGGAAGTTTGCAATTGACACATGACTGAGTCCCTGTTAGGGTATATTTTCCGCCCCAATAATTTAGGACGGTTATTCGGAGGATAGCCGTCTCTTCTTTTTTGCTGCTAGGAGGGTAAATATATGCATGTACAGACATAGAAACACATTTTATTTGTCATGTACATGCACAAAAGGTCTCAGTATTAACTAAAGTAAAAGAATCTTTTTACTCCAGAGATGCATCGGGCATATGAGGCCAGGCTAGATCAACTGGCACTTAATGGGTGAGGTGGTCAGCTTAACACCAGCTGCCTTTACTTCCCAGGAAATTATCTGGTACCCATGTTAAGCTGGATTAACTGCAAACCAATGTTGGTTCTGGAAAAAAATGGCAACTTTCAGTGTTTGTTTGTTTGCTTAGTTTACTATTATTCTTGCAGGGTGTGACAACTGACATTTCTGTAAATTTGTTGAAATGTTTACTGTATTGTATCATCCGACTGCACAAATGTTTAGATTTTAACAGAATCTTCAGAATTTCCTAGAAGATATACAAATATTGATTACTTCGCTTCTATATCGGGGTCATGTTCTCTCTTCCCTACTGTCTCCTATTGCTGGTATTTTTCTGTAAAATTTGCTGAGTGTTATATACTGTAGAAACACCTTTGTCTGTCTCCGCAATGAAGATTGCCACAGTGTACAACAGTGTTATCTTTGAGAATAATACATGGCACCAGTTCAAATAACTTGGTGTTGTAATAGACCAGAACGGAGGTATTACAACTGAGCTGGCTACACGAAAAGCAGTTGCAGAGATATTCTTCCAGGCCATAAACTGAGGGTTTCTTAGCAAAAGAGAAATTGGAAAGAAGATGAAAATGGCTGTTTACAGCTCTACCTGTGTGCCAGTCCTGACCTATGGATTTGAGTCATGGGCAATGACAACAGCTGACAGAAGCCAGCTTGAGGCATCAGAAATGAGACATCTGAGAAAGGTAGTCCAAGTGACAAGAAGGGACAAAGTCCGCAATCAGACAATACGTCAAGATCTTGAAACCCAGTCCTTACAAACCTGAGTGGATCAGTCACAGTTACAATGGTTTGGACATGTATGCAGAATGGAAGAAAATGGTCACCATGGCAGACATGAGAGGCTAAGAACCAGGGAACCAGACCTCCAGGGTCCGCTGGGAAGACAACACCAACAGTCCCCAATTGACAGAGGACTGGAATGGAACAAAGCCAGAAAGAAAACTGCTGATAGAGATGTCTGGCGATCTCTCTGGTAAACCTTTACAAACCAAGGTAGAAGAGGAGCGACTAAGTAAGTAAGTAAATATAATACATGGCAAGGCTCCAGTCTGTGTCACTGTTTCTCCATCTGCCGCAAGAAAACAAATCCTAGCACCCAAGTATCATAAAATTAAAAAAGGTAAAGCATTGTTATTGAACTACATAAATACTGTCCCTTCCCTTTTCTGTTTAAAAAAAAAAAGGCATTATAAACATTGCTTTGACTGTTTGCCGTAAAGTTTATTTAGTTATCTTTCTTTCATTGTTTTCTGCATTTTTAAAATATCATTTTTTTCCCCAGGATATGAAAACATTGTCATTACTCTGCGCTGAGCACATAGATCAAGCTGAAGCAGTCGGTGAGTGTGCAGATCTCGCTTTAGTGATTATAAATAAAAGCGTGAACAGGAGATAATAAGCATTTATAAGATGATGTCACATTTGCTTCCAGATTGCCGATATGGATAAAAATATCTTTGTTTTATCAGCACAGTTTTGCCTATTTAATCTTTAGTTGAGAAGCTTTAGTGTAGCCTCATAGGTATGGGAGATTTCCTTGATGAAATGATTGAGCTGTCTGCCTTTTGCTATGTTGTTTTTGTATTCATTTTCTTTCGGCAGCATTCAGTTTGCAAGTGGAAGTATTTTTTTTTAAATAAAAGATCGCTCGACTCTTTTGTTGCTCACAGAGAACCTAACATCATCTAGCTTGTCATGCAGCAGTTTAATATTTAATGGTGCCGAACTAGTTAATCTATTTTGCCTGTTCATTTCTCAACACTTGCATGCTTTGGAGAAAATATCTAAAGGAAAAATACCTTTTGTTAAAGATTTGTTACTTTTACAGTACCATTTTATGAAACACACCAGGAATTGATTTGTTGTTATATTTTTGTTGGTTCTTCCACAGCTGGTAATGCTGCCTGCTGTATACAGTGCGGGCTGGTGGGAAACCTCAAAGAGCAGCTCTTTTGTACCAGTTGTGGTCATCATTACCATGGTAACTGCCTGTGTCCGCCTGTTGACATGAAGCCTATAGTCAGGGCAGGTTGGCAGTGTCCAAACTGCAAAATTTGTCAGACGTGTCGGTGAGTCATGAAGTTTTTGTTTTTAATCCTTTAGACTTGCCAGCTTGCCGTCTAATATGAAGAATATTTATGTTGGTTCTAGCTAGCTAGTTCTTTAATCTTATCTCAGTAATGTTAAAAATAAGGTTGGCTGCAGATAAAGCTGTCAAGAATTGAATTCACTAAACACAATATATGACCAACGATAGATTATATTCAGTGAACAAAAATCTCAGTAATGATCAGTTGGTTTCCCTATATTGGTTCTGAGACCCTATATTGGTTACTGATTTGGGATTCTTTTGCTAAGCTTAGAAGTTGTTTACCTGAGAGGCAAATAACAGTTATTTTCCTTTACGCCCAAGTTTTCAGCCATTGAACAGCACTTAGTAACATACTATTACAACTAGGGCTGTACCGGATAGTGATTTTCACTATTCAGCTGAATACGAATAGCGGGACCAACTTTTCGGCTGAATACGAATAGTGTATAATGTATAAAATAAATCTTAAAAAAAAATCACATTTATAATGTCAAATGTACGCTGAACTTTGACTTCACATAAAGTAGCACAGAATAGTCATCATCTTCTTTAGCATTCTGAGCCCTTGAAGTTTCTACTGCGGATATAACTCGTCTCCATTCATCTCTCTGGCTGGCCTTCTCTGCACAATTTGTGACACCAGTTGTTTGCAGGTCTGACTGGATATTATCTCTCGAACTTCTTTTTTCTCAGCCTCGTGGTCTACGCCCATTCCTCTCTCAGGTGTGTTGTTTTTACTTCTCTGTCATCTGCCATTCTTTCAATATGCCCCAACCATTTTAGTCTTTTAGCTCTTGATGCCAGTGATCAATGGGGATTTGAACAGATTATGTGTTACGTTGTTGCTTCTCACTCTCCATTTCCCGCTGTTAGCATCTTTGATGGGTCTAAAGATTTGTTGTAAGACTGTTTTCGAAAACATGTAATAAGGCCTCATCTCTTTTATTTCTGCTTCAAGTTTCAGAGCCGTATAACACGACTGGTCTTATTGACGTTTTATATATTTTGATCTTGGTGTTGCGAGACAGACACTTTGACCTTAACATATGTTGAAGGGCATAGTATACTCTTTTTCTAGATTGTATTCTGGATTGTATTTCTTCTCTCAGCATGTTGGAGCAGTTGAAGTTTGCACCCAAGTACTCGAATGTTTCCGTTCGTTTGATTTTCATATTATCGAGTTTATATTCTGTCCATGCCTAGTTAGTATTCGTACAGAATAGTAAACATTTAAAAGCATTTTTTGTTTTTCATCCTTCAGTCAGTCTGTGGTAACTAATAACTAGGAATGGAAGAATCCTAAGTATTATAATAAGTAACTAAACTTGAAAATTGCCACTGACAGCTTAGTTAATGCAGGAAAGCTGCATTAGCTTTCAACAAAACCAATTGTTCCATGTTGTCAGCATTAAGGCCGTGTATGCAGAAGCGGGTGTAAGGTAACTACTATTCGTATTCAGCCCGACCGCAAATCCTCGGCCGAATACCAAATGGTCAATAGGTCAACTATTCGGCCCCGAATCGAATACGAAGCGAATATTCGTACAGCCCTAATTACAACAGTAGAATAGTTAGTTATACACTGTTACTATGGTTATTGTCATGAATTGAAAAGTCAACCTGACAGATAACCATGCTCATATTGTGATTGAACAATTGCAGAACTGCTGGGGAGGACAGTAAAATGCTGGTATGTGACAAGTGTGATAAGGGTTATCATACATTCTGCCTCAAGCCAGTCATGACCACAATCCCAAAGAATGGGTGGAAGTGTAAGGTAGGACAAAAAGTTTGATTTTCATGTATATTGTCTCTAATGTGTTTGAAATATTTCTTACGAAAGTTCTAGCGTGTTTACAGTAGAATGTCACATTTTGGAGACCCGGAAGCAGAATGGAGGATAGGGTGGGTCTGGTGGAATTGTTCAGATTATGCGATCCTATTTGTTAACAAGTATACCAACCCACTTGAAACTGCCTAACCGCTTATAGTCCATGCAATCTTTTTCTCCTTCTCCTTCTCCTCTCTTCTTATCTGTCGTTCATGTTCCAGAGAGTGAGAATCTGAACCAGCTGTCATCAAGTACTTTCTTTATGTTCTTTACTTCTTTTTCAGCTAAAACGTTCTGTAAGATGAGATAGCATTCTCACACCAACCCTACCTAGCCACCTCTTTAGTTACATGCATGGTGGGTTTCAGTGGTGTTATTCTTTGTTTCCTTGCAGGTGGCATTCAACATATTTCATCTTTCATCAAACAAAAAACTTTTTTACATTTTGTATATTTTAGGATCCTTTTTTCACGCCAGCGATAGGTGCATTGGGCATATGGTGGTAGACTCATATTTTTAAAATATAGACTCGGTACATTATGCATCCTTAAAAAATGCTGTTGTGGCAGTCTGATGCACACAAGATATCAGGTACAGCCTAGGTATGAGAGTTGGCAGGGGATTGAATGGCTTTAATTCCTGTGTGGGTTCTGGGGCCCCATTATGGGGAAAACAAGAACAGACCCAGTGCCTCCCCCAAAAAAGCAAGACGTAAGAGGCAACTAACTAATGGCTTCCTTCGAAGTCCATTTACCTGAAAGGTGTGGAACCAACAGTTTGCATACAAATGAGTCAGATCTGTGAAACGTATCTGCATGCAACACTCAAGTTCTGAAACAGATTAGAGTAAAGAAGTTGACGAATCGCTGGAGTTTACAAGAAGTGAATGTGAAGAAGATGAATGGCTTTCTGTTATACCGAGACTATAGCAACCTTCTGCAAAGTACCTGCTTTAAGATGTTGCATTGAAACTGAGTGGATGGTGTGTGAGGTCAGCATCACACTGGCTGCCTTTTTGCCCACGGCATGGCCTGATATCCATTTTAGGCTGGGTCGACTTGAAAGCCAACTAAAGTAAAATAAAGTAAAGAAGCTTTTTCATACCTTTAGGCATATTGGGCATGTTGTGCTAGACTTATAATTTTGACACCCCTCAGCAGTTGGGGAGTGATGTGGTTAGCATCACACTGACTGTCTTTACTTCTCGGGAGTTTACTTTGTACCCATTTAAGGCTTGGTCGACCTGGGAGCTAAGGTCAACTAAGAAAATATAGTAAATGTCTATGTCTAGCCTCTAACACTACTGCGGCTTTCTCAGAACCAAAATCCATATTTTAAATTTTTTTTAAATCTAGCCGGAGCGGATTTAGGCCCAAGACTTTTGACCTGTCAGACTCTCTTTACTTCTCAGGAGTTTACTTTGTACCCATTTAAGGCTTAGTCGACCTGGGAGCTAAGGTCACCTAAAAAAATATAGTAAATGTCTAGCCTCTAACACTACTGCGGCTGCCTCAGAACCAAAATCCATATTTTAAATTTTTTTAAAATCTAGCCGGAGCGGATTTAGGCCCAAGACTTTTGACCTGTCAGAAAAGTGTCTAGTCACTGTTGTGCATGAAGATTCCCAGTGTCTAGTCACTGTTGTGCATGAAGATTCCCAGTGTCTAGTCACTGTTGTGCGTGAAGATTCCCAGTGTCTAGTCACAGTTGTGCATGAAGATTCCCAGTGTCTAGTCACTGTTGTGCATGAAGATTCCCAGTGTCTAGTCACTGTTGTGCATGAAGATTCCCAGTGTCTAGTCACTGTTGTGCATGAAGATTCCCAGTGTCTAGTCACTGTTGTGCGTGAAGATTCCCAGTGTAAATGGTGCTGTAAACCTGTTCATTGTGATTCTTTTTCAGAATTGTAGAATATGTACCGACTGTGGGTCTAGAACACCTGGAAGTGGGCCGTCCTCCAGGTGGCATCTAAATTATTCAGTGTGCGACTCGTGCTACCAGCAGAGGAACAAAGGTCTGTGCTGTCCGCTGTGTGGCAAGGCCTACCGGCATTTTCATAACAAGACCATGTTGCCATGTGGGCTTTGTAAAAAGTGAGTATATTTCCTGAATGGTTCTCAGAATTATTGGCCCAAACCGTATATTCATACTGGAAATGTGCCTACTAGAATGTTTATTCTTACCTCAGCCTATAGTACGCAGTTTGAGTTGTGCTTGAAATGGTCAAAATGCATAGGTACATTTGTCCATCCATCTGTCTGTCCATCCAAAGTCCAGAATGATTGAAGTACTAAAGAATCATACTTTTGCAGATTCATATTTTTTAGCAGTCATTGGCCAGTATAACATTCCATTCCTTCCGTTACCTGATATGTTATATGTTGTCAGCTTTATTAAAGAACCGTTTTATAGAATACCTTGTACAAGACATTCAGCAAAAGAGGAGGAGGATGTAGAACACAAGTTGGAAAGATAACATCAGAGAAACTCTGCAAAAGCATGATATCTGTCTTCTGTCTAGGTGGCCAGAAGGGCGAGCAGCAGAACCTTATATATCCCTCGACACCCTCAGCTGTAAAAAAGGAAGTGAAGAAGAAGAAGAAGATATAGACTGATCAGAATTATTATTTTTAGGTCAACTCACTTCTCAGTGGTGCAGAAAATTTGAGCTATTGGAGTACTGTGCAATTCACCTGGTTACTGGTTATGTATCATTGTCAAATACCTTCTAATAGATATTGTGGAAGTGAGGCTAGTCAGTGATAACACAACAGTGACTCTGCAATGATGACACAACAGTGAGGCTGTGCAGTGATGACACAACAGTGACTCTGCAATGATGACACAATAGTGAGGCTGTGCAGTGGTGAGATAACAGTGAGGCTGTGCAGTGATGAGATAACAGTGAGGCTGTGCAGTGATGACACAACAGTGACTCTGCAATGATGACACAACAGTGAGGCTGTGCAATGATGACACAACAGTGAGGCTGTGCAATGATGACACAACAGTGAGGCTGTGCAGTGATGACACAACAGTGAGGCTGTGCAATGATGACACAACAGTGAGGCTGTGCAGTGATGACACAACAGTGACTCTGCAATGATGACACAACAGTGAGGCTGTGCAGTGATGAGACAACAGTGAGGCTGTGCAGTGATGACACAACAGTGAGGCTGTGCAGTGATGAGATAACAGTGAGGCTGTGCAGTGATAACACAACAGTGAGGCTGTGCAATTATGACACAACAGTGAGGCTGTGCAGTGATGACACAACAGTGACTCTGCAATGATGACACAACAGTGAGGCTGTGCAATGATGACACAACAGTGAGGCTGTGCAATGATGACACAACAGTGAGGCTGTGCAGTGATGACACAACAGTGAGGCTGTGCAGTGATGAGACAACAGTGAGGCTGTGCAATGATGACACAACAGTGAAGCTGTGCAGTGATGACACAACAGTGAGGCTGTGCAGTGATGACGCAACAGTGACTCTGCAATGATGACACAACAGTGAGGCTGTGCAGTGATGAGACAACAGTGAGGCTGTGCAGTGATGACAACAGTGAGGCTGTGCAGTGATGACACAACAGTGAGGCTGTGCAGTGATGACACAACAAAGAGGCTGTGCAGTGATGACACAACAGTGACTCTGCAGTGATGACACAACAGTGAGACTCTGCAGTGATGACACAACAGTGAGGCTGTGCAATGATAACCCAGCAGTCAGGCAATGTACCGATGACCCAACATTGAGCTGTACAGTATCCTGCAAAAGTACTCGTAACGGGAAAGGCTATCATGGATAAAAAAAATGTCACTGAAATCAAGTATGTCAGCCAAAAGGCTCAGATATGTTGACACTGACATATCAGCATTTTGTTGTTTGGTAAACAGGCTCAGCACAGTAATGTCACACAGTTATAACAAAATATTCAGTAATAAAGAAAGCCTTTTATGTTTATACTTCCACAGGTATGTTCATATTGAATGTGATCAGTCCATTAACCCCAACAGAGGAGACAAACTGAAAGACTTGCCTCAGGATTATATTTGTACAGTTTGCAGGGAGACGGATCCAGATGCAATGGTAGGTGCTTGTGAGCAGTAAATTGTTGTTAGCATTTCTGGGCGAGAAGTTCATCTTTGTGTTCTCAGTGATGGAACTGAAATTCTTTCTGATACTTACCATTCCCCCCATTGTGGGTTCCAGGGTCCAATTGTGGGATCCAGGGATCCATTGTGAGTTCCAAGGTCCCAGAGTGGGTTCCAGGGTCCCATTGTGGGGGGACACAGATTATGATGACCAGTAAAGACTATGAGAGTGCAGTAGCGGAGTGGTTAAACTGTCAGCACAAAGGTCTTGGCTTTAAATCCACACCTGGGCATTTTTAGTTGTATGACCTTCGTTGGTTAGTGGTTGCATATGCTTTAGAGGACATTGCAGAACCAACCCAAGCAATTTTGTGTGTGGCTGTTTTACAGATCTGACTTATTTATATGCAGATTGTTGGTTCCTTGCCTTGCAGGCAAATGCATTCTGACTTCGAAGGAAGCTCCTAGTAGGTCGACTCTTATGACATGCTTGTTGGGGAGGCAGGGGGTCTATTCTTGTTTTCCCCATAACCAAGCCCCAGAAACCACATGGGAAAGTTAGCCATTGCCTCTGAATGGTCAGCTGTCAGTACAACTGTCAAAAATAATGCGAGACGTTCTGCTGCCAAATCGCCCGCAGCTGGGATTGAACCTGGCATTACGAAGCACGTTCTCACCTCCTAAGCCACGAACACAGACGGTCGTTGAAAGGATATGATATTCTTGAAGTTTCCTTCAATAGTCGGTGTTTATATCAACTCTTTGTATTTAAATTGTTAGTTTAACTACTTCTGTCCCAGTGTGTCTCTGTTGAACTTATTTAGAGGTAAGTATTTGTTGCCTGTAAGCTCCCTTTTTTTAAAACAGATGGGGTTACAGTAACAATCTCTTGGGCCTGAATGAGTTAACACAGTGTATGTTACTGCACATTTCTGTATATAGAAATAGTTAATTAATTACACATTTGTGTTTGATGTTCAATAGATGGATTTGGATCAACAGCTGCCAGCTCTTTCTTATGCTGCATCAGAAGAATCTGTGGAGAGTTTTATGAGTGAGTTTAGATATCATTGTGTGCGTTAGTATCATCATCATCATCATTATGATGGTAACCACCATCGACCCTTCATTATAATATTCATCATTATTATTGTCTCAATTATTGCCATCACTGATACCATTAAACAAAATGTGGATGTGCTTTAACTAAAGAAGTAAACTATGTTGCTAACAGAGAAAGAATCTGGTCCGTTCCAACCTCGGACAAGTCAAAACTGTATGATACACAGGGGGGTATGAACTGCGCGTTAAATTTCATCAAGTTTTCTGACAGAAGAAGAAGGAGGGAAAAAGAAGAAGAAATGACATTTGGGATTATGTTTAATTAACCCTTAAGTAAGTACTCCCTAAGTAAGATGAAGGGGACCAGGCCCCCCCCCCCCCCCCCCCCCCCAGAGCGCCACTACTGGTGACCAAAAATCTACCAGATTGAGCTATTATAACCAGAATGAATAATATTTGTATGTAACGAGCATAGTACATCCTTATTTCTTGAGTATGATGGCAGTAGTTCGTCACAATAATTATTTGTGTTTGATTGAAGCAGAATTGATTGAGATCTCGCATTTGTAATCAATGCCCTTTTGAAATATTTATAATTTGCTAGCATAATGAGAAGACTTTAATTTTGTGTTTTTGTAAAAGTAATAACTGTTGACAAAAAAATATGTGGCTGTCTTCCGAATAACGGTCCCAAATTATCGAGGTTGAAAATATACTCTAACAGGGCCTCAGTCACGTGTCAGTTGTGGACTTCCGCCACTGCAGAGAGTATTTCCCATGCCGCTACGCGCGACGTGAATTGGGGCTAAACTAAATGGCTGGGACTCACGAGCAAATAAAATAAAGGAAGCTGCAGGAGATGCAGTAGCTGCTGCTCGTGAGTCCCAGCCATCTAGTTTAGCCCTAATCCACACCGCGTGTAACGGCATGGGAGATACTCTCGGCGGTGGCGGTAGTCGCCGGGAGTGCAAAATTTAAGTCGTCGGAAGTCCACAATTGGCACATGACTGAGGCCCTGTTAGAGTATTTTTCTGCCTCGAAAATTTAGGACCGTTATTCGGAGGATAGCCAAATATGTAATTACTGGTCAATACATTTATATTTTCTAAAATTAAGGGGCAAAAAATGAAGTTCTTGAGGCCATTGCTGACACCATGCACTTAATTGTATGATTTTGCAATTGTGAACACTTGAGCGTTGAAGGAAGCGAGAGCCAGCACATACACACTTCTTCTGTAATGTTGAGTAGCCTGTACAGAATGTGTTGTTATATGTTATCTACATTAGTGTTTCCCACTTGTATGTTTTTTTGTGTGTGAAATCGCTCAGTCATGTATTTGTTAAGATAAAATAGGAGTATGGCTGTGGACAATAATTGGAAACAATAGAATAACTATTATGTAGTAGTATGACTGGTCTAAGTGTTTTAAATCCTAAGTTAGAGGCTCTTAATCAGCTAATCAGACATGTACACACTTCTTATAGATCTGCCATAGCATGGTAATTTTTAATATTCTGCTGAAGAACTCATTATAATCAAAAAATATTACAGTCGCAAAAGGGCTTGCATTCTAAAAGTAAGGGCTTTTGACTGATCAGTTCTTTCCACCTCCACAATGGTAGAGGCAACCAGTCAGTCATTAAACTACAACTGTTGACCCAGTGACTTGCTGTGTTATAGTACTGTGCTAATAATGATCATGAACGGCCCCTTTGTCCCACAGACACCATCAAATGGGAAAGACTGTCCTGAGTCGCAGAATGGGTCGTATACTTGAATGAACATATCTCTTGATTGTATATAATCGATTTTAGTTAGATGTAGGCACGGATAAAACCAGTCCATTTTTGGAATATCCACAGCGGATGATCTTGTATCCAAGGATGACCCTATGCTTACTGAGGCAGCTCTATCTGGGCCAAGTGCTGTCAGTGGGAGCACCACTGCTGGGGGCCTGACAGCTTCAAGTTCACAGGACTCTCTGTTCCTGGGTGATGACTCCAGCTCTAGCAATGATTTTGACGCATCAGATAGGGTATGTTCTGTCAAATGACAACTAGGGTATGTTCTGTCAAATGTCAACTAGGCTATGTTCTGTCAGATGTCAACTAGGGTATGTTCTGTGATTTGTCAACTAGGGTATGTTCTGTCAAATGTCAGCTGGGGTATATGTTCTGTCAAATGACAACTAGGCTATGTTCTCTGAATTGTCAACTAGGGTATGTTCTGTAAAATTTCAACTGAGGTATGTTCTGTTAATTGTCAACTGGGGTATGTTCTGTGAAATGTCAAATAGGGTATGTTAGTGGAATAAAAGATAGGGTATCTTCTGTGAAATAAAAGATACAGTGTGTTCTAGAAAATAAAAGATATGACAAATATCAAATTGTTTTGTGCTCTGAAAAAACCCCAGATAGGGTATGTTCTGTGGAATGTCAGATAAAGTATGTTCTGTTTCTGTGAAGTTGCAGACAGGGGACATTCTCTTAAATATAAGGGTATCTTCCACGAAACACCAGACAGTAAGAAAGTGTCTTTCTTTTAATACCTTTAACTGTTTGTAACTCTATAAGTTCTGGAATAATATAGATTCTTCTGCTGACCAGGAAATTCACTGTTCACTTAAGAATTTTTGTTAGTTTTGAGAAAAATCGGCGTACATTTTTAATAATCTGTTCAGAGGTTAAGAATAAGCACAGTTTCTATCGGCAGCTAGGCATGTTTCTCCCTTAGTCAAATCTGCATTGAGCCGGATGATTTAGGCTCGCGTGTCAACTCAGACTTTAATAGGTACCAGCTAAAATCCTAGGAAGTAAAGCTGGCTAACCATATCACTCACCAAGTGCTGATTTGTCAAAAAAATATAGGTCTTTTGAGAATTTGGCAAACAGGCCTGTCTTACATTGAGACACAGGTGGGCCACGTATGCATCTTTCAGCAACATTTTTTAGTTAAAAAAAATAGTATTGGGAAAAAAAATATGTTGGAAAAAATGTATTAGTGTGTGTAACATCCCTGTATGGGTGCCGAGGTCTCATTCTGGGAAGGGGGGGGGGGGAATAGAATAGATCAACTGCCTCTTCAACAAGCATGTTGTAAAAGATGACAGATTAGTGTTGTTTGCTTCAAAGACGAAGTGCATCTGTCTGAGAGACGAGGAACCCGCCATGAATGTCCAGATCTGTACAACGAATGTGCACGCAACATTCAAGTATTGGAACAAGACTGAAGTACAGAAGTGGATAATCAGCCAGAACTTACTGCCTGTGTTTAGAGTCGGTGAACATGAAGAAGAAGGAGAGTGTGTAACAGAAGCAGTGAACTGCAGTAGTACAGTGGTTAAAGAGTCAACTAATTAGCGGCTTCCTTCAAAGTCGGTGAGGCAAGGAACCAACAATCTTCATTCACATAAGTCCGATCTGAAAAATGGATTTGCATGCAACACTCAGATTCTGGAACAAGACTAAAGTCCAGATGTAGACAAACAACCAGAAATTTCTGTTGGAGTTTACAGCCAGTAAGCCTGAAGGAGGAGAATTCTGCATGTGTATCGGAGTTTATGTAATCGACTTTAGCTCCAGTGCTGATATAAAATGGGTGCCAGGACATGTTTTGGGAAGTAAACATGGCCACCAAAGAATACTGAACATGTGCAAACCTGCTTCCTGTCTACATGCAGTAGAGAGATCCCAAGATGATGACTGTATCACCCATTTGTATGGGTTGGTAAATAATATTATGAGTTTCACACCATATACACAATATCAACTGGCTTGAAAAAATTCATTGACTTTGTTGAAAAGATAAGCCGGAACTAATTTAAATAATACTGTAAACAAGTGTTGATCTGGATTTATTTACAGGGCCTGCTGTCTCCTGGTTCCAGGAGAAGTTCATTTGAATTTTCCAAGAAAGGACGGCACAAGGTTGGTGGTTTAACAGCCTATAAATTATTGTTAATAATATGCACAAATCGCATTCTTCATCTTTCTCTTACTCAGTGGAGCAAAAGCCCTCAATTAAATTGTCATATTTTATGTTGTTGCTATCATTTGCGGCTCACTATGTCTTCTTCATCTTTTTTTTTAAACCCATCCTCTAATTCTCTTCTTAGTGTTTTTTGTTTGGCTCTGTGGGTTCCATTGCAAGGACATTCTAGTTATATTAATATTAAGCAGTCACTTTGGTTTTGTTTGTTAGCTACTTGTTTTATTGATTGGTGGATGAAACTCAGACTTCTTTTTGTGTGACTTCCTCTTCCTGATGTTGTCTTTCCATGTGTTCTTGGTCTGCCTCATGCTCAACGTCAGTCTCTCACAAGTTAAAACCCAGAGTCATCCAATAGAATAGGTTTGTTAAGTCTGATGTGCTGACATTCAAGTTGTTTGAACCCTTCAGAGGTCTTGCTTCTTGCATGGGGCAGTAAGGGTTAGCACCGTTGTTTATGGACCACGTCCACATTAGGAGAGGGTGGAAACCGGAAAAGTGGCCTCATTTGGATTTCCTAATTCTATATTTGGTGCTCAGTGTTCTTACCGCCACCCCCCAATCATGTCTTACCTCTCTTTTCTCACCCCTTCTCTTTCCTTTGATCTTTCACTCTTCTCCTTTAGCTCTCCATTCTTCCTCTCCTTACTCTGTTATCTTTTTCTCTCCATCTCTGTCCCATCTCTTCTTTGTCTCCTCTCCATCCTGTCTCATTTTCTCTAGCACCCCCCTCCCCTCCATTATTTCTGTTTCTTCTACATTTGCTGTGCTGCCCCATAACCGTCTTTTCCTAGTGGCTGTGTCCAGTACACTTGAAATTGTGTTATGGTTGAGGAAGTGGGTGGGGTTTCAGCATAAGGCCGGTGGTTTTTTCTTTGATGTGTTATTATAAGGCCGGTGGTTTTTTCTTTAATGTGTTGTTATATTTGTTAGCAATTCTGGCATATTTTTTAATCTCTATCTTGTCTCCCTTCCTGCCCCTCTCTCTTTATCTGTGTTTGTCA